AAGCAATGTGGTGCTTTGCCACCTCCAGGAGTTACAGATTGTTTAAGCTATGAGAATAAAATGTTATTAATGGTTCTGACTAGAGAGAGAAAATGAGATTAATCTATTGCATCTTCTCTTACCTGCCTGCATGTCTTCAGCTGCTGCCCTCTCATTTTTCTTTGTCTCTTCCCAGTTTTGTGGAATGCTTTTCTCCTTCCCTTTTCATGGTCCTTCCTGGTGACCTGCTGATGCCAGGTCTCCTCCCAACCTCTTCCACCCTACAGAAATTCTTATTTGCAGCAGTTTTTTATAGTGATCAATGGTGCTTTGCAGAAATCCATGAGTCTTGGATGCACATTGTTTAAAAGAGAAAAACAAAAACAAAAACAAACAAACAAACAAACAAACAAAAAACCAGTTTTATTCCTCAAACACTTTCTTCTATTATTCAACAGCACGTGGGAGGAAGAAGAGATAGAAAATCCATGCCCTCTACAAATACCATAATCAGAAGGTCGAGATGAGGTCTAATCCTGAAGTCTCTAAGTCCTTTAATACATTTCATGTTTGTGAGGCACCAGTAACAATTTTTTTTTGCCTTCTACTGCCAGTGAGACCTAATGGATTAACACAAGGTGTCCCAGCTACAGCAAATGGTAATGATGGTAACTTTTTCTTGCTCTTGTCATCTTCCTTGTCTCTTTACTGTCTGTGTGCAACAGTAAGTCAGGCAGCAAGGCAGTCGGTTCTCCACCTTCTGATTTCCCTTGTCTCCAAGAAGCTCTGCCCATGTACAGCCATCACCTGCTGCAGACTGTGACAGCATCAGACCTGCACCAGTCCTGCTCCATGCCACAGGAAAAAAGAAGGAGGATGGCTGGAAGTCCTTGTGCTGGCATCTGGGGTTTCCTGCATCCTCCACAGGCATCAGTTTATTAACCTGGAGCCATTCCAGAGGGAAGAGCAACGTGTATCTCATTCTGTGCATACTTTCTGGGATGTTTCTGCCATTTTGTGAGAGTTCGCCAGAAGTGCTCAGTGCTAAATGATTGAAATGACCTGACTTACAGAAGCTCTGAACCAGTCCTGCACTTCAGATGCACAAACTAGTGCTTGCAGCAAAGAAGGAATATGAACAGGAAAGGCAGTGGCAGGTATCCAACCTCATCATTGTAAATACTTGATCATGACACTCTTTTTTGTCCCCCCTCTTCCATAGTAACAGCAAGACTGTAACTGGCCACAATGGAGAAGCTCTGCCTTTTCTATGATTAGCTGTGTTAATAAATCTGGGTAATATACTGCTTTCTGAGTCAGTGTTCAGTGATAAAATCAACAAAGTGAAGCATCCATCTGGAATCATTTCACCCCTCAGGGTTTCTGTTTTATTTACCCTGCTCCTAATCAGCCCTTAAACTTAATCCAGTTCCACTCAAGCAGCAGATCCAAATAATTTCTGAAATAATCCTAAGGTGCTTTCCTGACATCAAATAAGGGCACAGAGGGTCCATAAATCATGCTGGAAGCTCCTTGAGTTATGAATTGCAAGTCAGTGCCATCCTTTTGATATAGGCAATGTCAGAGGATGTCTGTAAGGACAAATAGCTGTTGTCACTGATATTTTAGAGAGCTTCTGGGTCTCTGTGGCTATATTAGATCCGTATTTGCTATGACAGCAGCACCTGATCTTCTTCTGACGGTGCTGAGACGGAGGCTGACAACTCCCAGATGTTAGGACAGCTGTCCAGGTAGCGTGTTACATCACGCCTCCTTTGGCAAAGGGAATAATATCAGCTGTAGGAGAGCAAATATTTCATGCTTGGAAGACATCAGCCAACAATCTTAAACAGCTTTCCTTTTCACACGTAATTGCTAAGGAGAGTGGCATGCAGCTCTGCAATCAATGGAGAGCATCTAGCAGGCGTTGGTATTCCTGGGCAATGTCGCTGTATAAGGCAGGTATCTGGTGGGGCTGGAAATGTGGATTTCTCCCTTTCCTGGACTGTGGCAGCTGTCCAGGGCAGGGAGTGCAGACGAAGCAGTTGCCTTCTAGAACGGGTCAGTCATTTCCCAGATGTGTCTCAGAGCAGCTGATGCACAGCACTTGGTCCCGTGCTCTTGCTAATGCACCCTGGTCTGGGGTTGCTCTTCGTTCATCCAAGGGCTGACACTACCCACTGGGAGGTGATTTGTTAAAGCCTCTAGGATGACCCATTTATATGAGGGAAGATCTCAGTAAGCAGGAGCTCTTAAGAAGGATACAGAGAGATGCTTAGTGGGAGAGATTGAGCACTTCCCTTCTGCTGTTTCAGTGAGAGGGGATGAGCTTTTGTGAAATCAGATTCAGATTTAGTCCTGCCAACAGGCACACATGAGGGTAGGGCTTGGTGAGAGCAGAAGCTTCAAAGCCCTAAGCCCGTAAGTGTCACTTGTTTCTTGTGCCACATTTCATGGGAGAGCATCTCTGTTTTGGTGGCAGTGCTCAGCAACATCAGTGGTGCCCCAGGACTAGAGTTCACCAATATGGGCTCATTTGGGCCAAATGTGGGGCGGCTGCAGCCTGCTCCTCTCCTCATAGGGTGGCTTAAGAAAGGTGAGAAAGTCACAGTCAAAGCAGAGGGTGTGCTAGATGTGAAATGGGACATCAGTCCTTGTTGCTTTCACCAGGTGATGGGGTTGATCCATCTGTTGTGAGGGCTAAAACCTGCCAGGGGCAGAGATGCCAAGTCAGCAGACTGGAGCATTCTCAAACCATTAAGCAATGGTTTTGGGGAAGTGCATGGGAGACGGCATGGGAGTCTTCCTCACCAGTTTTCCTGACTATTGCAGAAGGACCACATTTTTCAGCAGGGAAGTAGAAGGCTGTAAGATCAAACCCTGGAAGGGAAGATCAGGAAATGCTGAGTGGGTACACATGTTTTTACCGAGTCAGCATCTGTTTGCCTTGCAGAATTTAGCACTGAGTCCTGGGGTCTTTCCTTCCCTTCCACGTGAACTGTCACTGAACCCAGGCCCCGCTTGGTCTTGGCCATCTCTACCTGCATCTCTGTCCCAGTACAAGATTTGGATTGTAGTTGAAATCTTATTTTGATCAAAGATAGACGTGAGGATCTAGAAATTTCTTTGTGAACAATGACTCTTAGGTCTACCTTGCCTTGCCACAGAAGAGCAGGAGACATCATTTATCATGTTGCATACTGGAGCTGTAAAAGGCTAACATGAAAAGTGTGCCACCCACTGCTACTTCCTTCCACCCCTTTCACTGCTGGTTCTTTAGGGCTGGAAAAATTCAAGTCTGGGCTTCTCCATGGATTTGGGGCTTTCTTCCCCTGAGATGAACTCAGCACCTGGGGTGCCTGGGTTTACCCATGCCAGTTTTGCCAATTTTCATCTCACAGATTCTTTTGTGACTTTTCATTGCCTGACCCTGGTAACAGGGCTGAAGTAGGATTCCCTATTCCCTCCATTCTTACTTTCCAACTGAAAACTTAACTGTGCCTTGAATTGAACCTACCTGACAAATACTGGATGGTGCTCACCCAGCCCTTTCTTATCTATTTTCTTTTGTCTATCATTAGGCAAAAGCAAAAAAACATCCTTCTTTATGGCTCCACGGGTCCCCTACAATTCCCAGTCTGTTCCTGAAAAAACAGCTTTCCTTGTTTACTAGTAGATATCTACAGCAAGTTCCTGACCTCAGTTGCTGGGTTTACAGCACACAAAGTTAAGACTGATCTCCTATCCTAATCATTGGCTTGGACCTTGATAGTGTCAGGTAATACCAAGTACTTTTCAAATTCAACAGGGCAGGTAATTTTGTAAGATTCTGTGAAAAAATCCAAGCCAAAGCCCTTTAAGTGGATCACTTCAGGCCACACAGTCTTATTGAAGGCACCAAATTTTATGGAATTTACTGTAGTATTTAGTGATTTATGGTAGTAATTAAAACAGTGATGCCAACACTTCTCTTGTAAGGGGCAAGCTGGAATCAAATCAGACATCTCCTTTCAACCCTGAGTTTGCGGGTTGCTGTTCTTCTGCCTGGCTGTTGGGTCTGTTCTCTTATGAGTAGGTGCAGCAAAGACCTCTCAATTCACCTCACTCTCAGGAGCACTCAGCTGTGAAATTCATCTTGTCTCAGAAACCCACACCTGCCTCTTGAAGCAATAGCAGCGTTAGTTTCAGAAAGGTTTCAGAACCTCATTATTATGAACAAGATTTTTCTTTTATTTTTTTTTCCTGCCGAGGCAGTGGGATGCAGCATTAAGAAATTGAGATAGAAAAACTTGCCTCGGAGTCTTAATTAGATTCTCATTTTTTTTTCTGTAAGCTGCAGGAGGGAGGGCTGATGATGGAAGGAGGCTGCAGCCTGTGGTGGTGGTGTCGCATTCTCTCCCACATCTCTCCCTGTCACCCAGCTATAATGGTCCCTGGTGTTTTGACACAGATGCCTTCAAATGTCATTAGCCCTGTGGATAATTATTCTATATGCTCTGGTGCATCAACCCCACTGCTGGAATGAGGAGGCTCTACTGACACTGAGGAGATTCAGTTTCAGGTCCCAGTTCTGGCTTTCAAGATCTTTTCTTTCCTGCATGGAAGGTTTAAATTTAGCACTTAGAAGGTGGCCCTAAGGGCTGAGGAGGATGTTGAAAAAATGCACCTAACCCCTTGTGAGCAATGATGGCATGAAGGTGTTCTGGTCAGCTCTGCAGGCACCTTGCTGTCCTGGCAGCAGACAGGGAACAGGTCCCTGGCATAGGGCTGTACATTCCTCTCTGGGAACAAAAACTCGCCAACACAAGCCCTTCACTGGTTCTGGCCTTTCTTGGTGGAGAGGAGGGAACTGAGCAGGTAGACTGAAAACCTCAGAGGTCTCAGGTGCTCCAGTGTTGAAGATCAGAGAAGAGGATGTTTGGATAAGATGCAGTGGTTCTCAAATGTAGCTGGGCAAGGAATTATTATTATTATTATTATTATTTTGTTTCCTCCTAACCAAATCCTCCTTCTACTTGCAGCTCAGTATTTCGCTAGCATCATGGTCATCGTTGGTCTGTCTGTGGTTGTAACAGTGCTGGTTCTGCAGTTTCACCATCATGACCCACAAGCTGGAAAGATGCCCAGATGGGTAAGTACCTCTGGTGGTAAATATTCAACAACATACTGATGGAAAAATCTAAATGTTGTGGCAAACTGATGAGGGGCAGACGTTGTTCCCCATTAACCCCAAGTGTCAAATACGGACACTGTTTTACACTGTTACTTTTGCTGTTGGGGTGAAAGAACAAACATACTAAATTGGGGTTTCCAGTAAAAATAGCATCTGTTATTTATTTATTAATTTATTTATTTTTAAAATTTAAACTTTAAACAGGGGTAGGTGAGAGTAATCTCTCTCAGCACCTGCTTTGTAAGCACCAACCCCATGGGCAGCACCTTTGATTTCTTATGCAGCAGACACCAATAAAACGTGGCATTACAAAGCACCAGCAAACACTGACTGGTCTCTGCTGGGCGGTTTGTCTGCTCTGCTCCCTCACAGATTCCCACTGAATTTAGCATCAGAGCTGTAATCCCCCAGAACAAAGGCAGGAGGTGAGGCCAATTTGCTTATCTTCTCTTGCAACTGCCCCAGTTACGAGCTGGCTCCCAGAGCTGCTGGAAAACCAGGAACACCAACAACTCATTACTGAACACAGAGCACAGCGACATTTCTCACAGCTTGGATATGGCTCCTAATGCACCATCAGCAGAAACGGAAAGGCTGTGCTTGCTCTGGCATCAAGGAGATCCCTGGACATCACTGGCTCAGTTATCTGCCCTTTGCCGAAGCATGTCCACTGCTCCAAGTAGAAAATTAATTCTGTCTGTTTCCATCTGATCACTTCTCAGTTCAGCTCGCATGTGGACCCTCTTTTCTCTGCAGCAGAAGACTCTGTTTTCCCACTGAGGTCTGGCACCTGTCCCAGATGCCTTTCAGGAGGAATGTCTTTATTTTAGATTTTCCAGTTAAAACAAAAGTATATTTTTATTTTTCCTCTCTCATTTCTCTTAGAATAGGTTTCAGAATAAGAAGGTTATGCTTTGCTATTGCAAAAAGAAAAGCAATGAAGGCATAAACAGATACAAATAGTCATCTGCCTACCTTGGTTTTGCAGACATTTGCTCCTACAGCATCCTCTAATACCTCATTCACCACATTTGTCATGCTAGACAATTATCCTGACACAATGTTAATGTCATAAACCTACCAATGTCAGCCTGAGAACAGAAATGTTTTCTAATTTGACTTCTCTAAAAATAAACTGCAGCATCAGTGCAAATTAAAAAATAAACAAATGAAAGGAAGTCCAATAGCAATAAGTCTACTAATAATTATTTCTTAAAGTGCCATATCTTTGAAGATCATCTTACTTTCAAGACACCAGAGCATGTGAATTGTGGATAAACCTCCATGCAAGCAAGACTTGAGGGCAAAAATTTAGGTAAACATCCTTCAGATACCTGCCTAGACAGAGTATGTAGCAGCTTAACAGCTCCCACGAGCAATTCTATTATTCCTCTTGCTTTTTGAGGAGCCTGGACAAAATGGCTCATATTAAATATGCTCACAAGGCCTTCCAAGTCAGCTCTTTCTCTGTGTCACAGTATAGCAGGAGATCCTCTCAGGCCTTCTCCGTTATTTTGCTGAGGAAACTGTCGTATGGTGCTCAGATTTTGGAGGAAATGATGATTCAGGACTCTTCTGGGAGGTTCTCATGAGAGAGCACGAACCTTAGATCACAGTGCTGCAAAGTCCCATGGCAACCTCCTGTGCTAACACAGCTGATGAAGACGTGAGCTTCTGCTAATTTGGCCAGTTTGGGCATTAGACCTGGCCATTTTGGCATTAGACCTAACCAGACTCTTGAAACCAGTCTGGGAATACAGGGGCTGGGGTGTGAGAAGAGAGGGAACGGAGGGCTCTAGATCTATGTTTTGAAGCATGTTGTGTGGGACTCATGAGCCCACCAGAGACCTGCTTGCTAAGCTTTGTGACTACCACCTGGTCCATGCCTGACAACATCTGGACCAAAGGATGAAAGAATCAAAACTGCAGATAAAAGAAGACCTGTTTGAGTAGTCTGGGGTCTTGCCACAGAGCTGCTGAGGTCCACCCTCTCATCTGGAAACACCGAGTATAAAGAATTAGCACTCCTGATGAACATGGTTCAGTGCCCTGACTGCTGAACTGGTGAACTGGCATGCATTAAAACAAACAAACAAACAAACAAAAAACACTAAAACCAACCAAACAAAAAACAACTATGAAGCAAAAACTCTTTAATGGACTGCTGCGAAGAGCAGATGATAAGATTGTGAAATATGCAGAACAGGCAAGCTGACAGGGCTAAGGGATCTCAAGAGAAAAAAAAAATGCCAGGTATGCAGGGAAGAGCCTAACTCCACAAAATTGGGCATTAGTCCTCTGCAATACATGCCCAAGTCTCAGTTACTAGGATTCATGGCACATTCTCCATTCTTCATTTTTTCCTGTCCCCCCTCTTTCAAGGCATGTCGCATTTTTTTGTCCCAGACAGCTTTACAGACTTTTGCTCAGTGAAAAAATGGGATATAATACATCTGTCTGCAGAAAGTAGGAAATACTGATTTTTTTCCTCTGCAATTCCAGTTTCATCAGATTCCCTAACCAGCTACTTTCTCCCCACACTCTCCTCCTCCTCACAAAGCCAGACATCAGTGTACTGCAGAGCTCTTGCCCTAGTTGACTGGATAACGTTACACAATTATTTTCACCTCCTGCTCCGATGCAATTAGTGCTGGGGTAAGTTCCAGGGGAAGGCACTGGTTTGTGTGGAAGCAGCTTCAAACCTAGAGGGGATAGCCGACTGCACTGCTGAAACATCTGCTTTCTAAACTTTTCACAACTGAGCAGTTTCTTTTCCCTGCCTGTCTCTCAAGGGCTTGGTGTTTGGCCTTTGGGCCAGAGGAGGGAGGAGATATGAGCGTTAGTTTTTAAGCTCTCTGCAAGTTCTTGCTTTTTCCCTTAATCCACAGTTGAGAATTGTGCCATTCTGTCTATTAATCTTAGATGATTTACTAGAGCCTGCATCTTTCCAAGAGAGAAGCTTAAATCCGAGGTGTTCACTCACGGTATTTGCTGGTTACTCAGCTCAGAAGTGGGATCTGATTGCAACGTGGCACTTTTTAAGACATCTGCTGAAATAGCGTGAGGCAAAGCCCAGCTAGCTGACAATTTTAGAGTGGATAATATCAGGTGTGAGGTACAACTCCACCAACCCACCTCTGCTGGCAACCAAAACAATTGGATAGGTGAGAGGTATAGGACAGAGAGCACAGAGAGCAGAAAGGGTGTGGTGGTGGCAAGGTCGCAACAGCGGCAGGCTGCTAACTTCTGAAGGTGGCGTACCTGTGCCCTTCCTCCACAGACACCCAAAAATGACAGTGCAGATGAGACTGTAGGCTCATACCATCATATCCTGGCTGTTTTCTGACAGCTCCTGTGCTGTGTCTGTCTCCTGAGTTAATTGGAATGACAGACCATTTTGATGCCTGAGCATCTCTGTTTTCAAAGAAATATTACATTTTGAAGTTCAAGCAAATTAAAAGCTGTGTTGCTTTCTTGCACATACTTATTTTTCTATGGGAAATGGGCTTGGCTATATTTATAAATCTAATTTCCCTAGGGAGCAAACACTTTGTCTTGAAAGGAAAAGTAACATTCATATAGAACAAAGCTTTTTACCTCACGTCTCCTTCCAGAGCTAAGAGACTTATTAACATTTTCTAATAAGAAAGTTCGCCTGGTGCAGTATTCTGGAATTTCATGGTACTGAAGAATAAATTTGTCTTTCTCCCCCTTGCCACAAACACTGTTAAAATACTGTTAGTAATTAAGACCTTATTTTGTTCAATGATGTTTCATTTTCTGTCTAAAGGCTGTCAGAGGACATTATAATTAAGTAAGTTCAATTAAATCGAGGACGGATTTTTTTAAGCTGCTACATTACAGTTTTCTGTTTGTCTGTGCTGACCACGGAGGAAATAAATGAAACAGTTAAAGCCCTCGGGAAAAAAAAAATAAAAAATAATAATTTGAAACACAGGAAATATTCTTCCATGATGAAGAGTAAATGATTCATTAATAGGAGAGAAGCAGGAAGGTTCACAGAAAACAGTACGAGACTGCAAACCACAAGAGCACTTACTGTAGGATTTCAAAGTTGTCTAACCATCTTCCACTTGCTATTACTTGGGGTTTTTATTAGTATTATTCCCAACTGTGGTAATTAATGCTTTCTCCTTTCTGAAATTATGCTTGTCATTACAGCAGCAACTTGAACGTGCTTGCTGCAATTTCCCCATCCCTGTATCTTCACTGTGCAAAACATAGGAGACAACTCAGCCTGTATCTGAAACAACCACAGTGGCAGAGGGTGGTGCTGAGCTATGTGTGGCTGACCTGACTGCAACAGAAATGCAGAAAGAGTCCTGTTCTTCCTGAAACCAATGGTCACTTGTTTTTTCCCAAACAGCAGATTATTGGACTTGCAGCCAGAATGACAAAGTCATTACAGAGACCCTCTCTCTCCCTGGAGTAACTCATGATCACCTTGCAAATGTCCATTTTGTATACATACTGCTTGCAGGACTTCACAATTATAAGATTTACTGATTTATTTCACAACAAATGATGTTGACTACAGGAATTATAGGAGGCTCAGATTTCAGGCAGGACACCAGAAGATTGTTTCACAAGGAAAAAGAGATGGATGCACTCTCTGCATTTGTCTCAACTGATGACCTTGACAAGAAATGTACACTCCACAGTCTGCCATGTGCAGGTTAGAGCATTCTCACAATGCTTCAAGCAATTGTACACATGACTATGAGGAGATGACAGCAGCCAACAAAAGCATTCGGACTTGAACTGCCCAGTCTAACTGATTCTCTGTTTTTCTTTAGAAACAGCAGCCAGTCATTCTAGCAGAACATACAGACTGACTATAACAGTCACTGAATGTTTCAAAACCTGTTAAATTGCACTAAATTTCCGTTTATTTATATTATGACCACTTTCTTTCAGGTCCGTGTCATTCTGCTGAATTGGTGTGCGTGGTTTTTACGTATGAAAAAACCTGGAGAAAACCTAAAACCCCTCTCTTGCAAATATAGCTACCCCAAGCACCATCCAAGTGTGAAGAGCGTGGAGATGAACACCCTGCCTGGGCACCAGTCCAGCAATGGCAACATGATCTACAGCTACCATGCAATGGAGAATCCGTGCTGCCCCCAGAACAATGACCTCGGTAGCAAGAGTGGAAAGATCTCTTGCCCCTTGCCAGAAGACAATGAGCTTGTTCAAAAGAAAGCTTTAATGGATACTATCCCAGTGATTGTGAAGATCCTGGAGGAAGTTCAGTTCATAGCAACGCGCTTCAGGAAGCAAGACGAGGGTGAAGAGATCTGCAGCGAGTGGAAGTTTGCAGCTGCAGTTATAGACAGATTATGCCTGGTTGCATTTACCCTTTTTGCCATCATTTGCACATTTACAATACTCATGTCTGCTCCAAACTTCATAGAAGCTGTTTCAAAGGATTTTACATAAGGATTTCAAAGATAAACACAAAGAGCAGAAAGGTAACTTAAAAGTGAATATTACCAGTAATTCTGCTAAGTAATTTAACTCAAAAGAGAGAAGTGTACTTTTATGTGCTAACATACACTGATGGGGATAAAATTAATTTTAGGAGATAATTATTACTGATGTTAGTAATTGTAGCTACTGAATAGTATACATATTGAGCTCTGTTACTTATTTCCTAGACTAATTCCACGCGTAATTATGTCATCATCTGCTACAAATAATAGACAAGAATTCAAGTGCACAACGCATTTATTACAAGTTAACAGTAGTGTCAATGTGTTACTATGTATTGGTGAACTCTTAAATATTGTTAATAAGTTAAATGGTACATTCATGACTGTAAGATTTACAGCATTTTATTGTTTTCAGTCTCTTTATGGTTTATCATTTTTGTTTAGTGCGGTTGTGAAATTTACTTCTCAGATTTGACAGACATCTCTCTGCAGTTTTATGATCCTGAATATTGCATATAAGAAAATAAACTATCATCTTCTTAGCTCTTACCGGTGCAGTGTCTGGAATGTTTTATCAGTAAATATGTTAACAGATTTTATTATTATTATTGTTATTTTTTTTTTTTTGCCAGAATATCACCTTTCTGTTAATTTGTTTCTAATATATGAAATGTTGGCTGTTGAGGATGGAAAGAAAATTCATGCTGACAATCACACATATCATTAACAGAACACCTCCAGTGCTCTTGCTGCTTAACTGTAGATGTCATCTTCACTTAATCTGAAATATCTCTGATTTCTTGGGTCACAGTTGCCAACGTAGAGTGACTATCTCTGTGTAATTAGGGCAATAGTGTTGCCTTTGCATAATCTGTAGCAAATTTGCCAATGATTTCATTGGTGTCAGATTCCATATTTATTGTCCGTGGTCTACACCACATTTAAGCAACATTTTTTGCAAATCTTTTAGTACAGTTCACTTTCAAGCTAGGTTGATATGACTTTGTTAAAAAGATTGTGTAAAAGGTTATTTTTATTTTGCTAAATTCTTATGCAGCAATGTTTCAATTTAAGTATCAAAGTATCAATTAATAAAAAAAGTATTTATATCATGACATTTGGCTGGAATATATTAGCAATAAGGCACTCTTCTCAATAGCTTCTTTCCATTCACTGATGTAGCGGCGACGGCACCTTTCTTGGTATGATTTTATTTTGCCAACTGATCACCACAGACCTGCAAAAGGATACGATCTGATCCAGGCACCCCCCCTCTTTGGGATAACACAGCACTTTTCTAAGTGTTTGCTAAAAGAAAACATCAACTTATTGTTTTCTCTGGCTGGCCCACACCTTCCTTTTCTTCCAAGCCTTAGTGCACCAGAATTAATATTTCCCATACCTGCTTGTTGGATCCTTCTCACCATCAGTATTGGAGAGAAAAAGGAAATCAGCAAGAGAGCTATTACTCAAGAGAAAACATTTCAATTTAAAAGGTGATGGTGAAGCTGATAGCTATACAGTCTTCAGGAACAAGAAACTATTTCTTTTAGGATCAGGTTCTTGAGCTTCTCCTCTAGTGCTCTTTATTAGGGGTGTGATGGCTCCCTTCAGACAGAGACTTCACTATTATGAATGCTACCTCTGTAGCTTTGAAATTAGACCATCACATCAATGGAGCTATCACACCACTTGGAGTTGTGTTCAAAACAGCACCCTGGTGGTTCTGACTACAGCTGCCTGTTCAGTATTTCATGTAGCTTTTGTGCTCTCTACTTATGGCAGTTTCTTCAGCTCTGGGTGCAGCTCAGAGGGGTAACAATGATTTATGGTTAAAAACCTCCACTAAAAATTCAATCCATATTTCTGAGATCTTGTTCTCCTCCACAGGAGCTTTAGTGCTCTAAGTACTTCTTTCTGCGCCAGCAAGACAAAACTGCCATGATCTCTCATTCTTTCTTCTGCCCATTTTGTTGCTTCTGCTTATGAAATTGACCTTGCAGAATGCAATTCAAGAGTGGTTTGCCTATTAAAAATGTCTTAACTGAACTGCAGTACTGGTATGGGGCTTTGGGTTAGTCATATCAGGCTCTGTTCCTGGACTGCAGCTGAAGTGCTCACTGTATATTATTGCTTTAGTTACAGGGACAATAGATGAATAAAAAACCTAAATATCATTTACTTCTGCAGCTGATGATGCAGGATGCTAAATGACCTTTGGAACACTTGCTCAAGGACCACTAATATTTTTGCTTGAAAATCTCCATTTTGAAAATAATCTCCAGTGACAGGATAAAAAGATAAAAGCTAAAGTTAAAGCACACAGTCAGAATAGCTTAGTGTTCCGATGCAAAGCATGATTTTCAAGAAATGTAGATTTGTTGTATAAGAGTTTTTTTAACTGAATGTGTATATGTTAGGATCAGAAAAAGGACAGAAACTGTCTGAAAACAGCAACGGAATATTAATTTCAATCATTTTTGTTTTATTAAGTCCAGTGCAAATAAAAAATTCAATTTACAGTTTACTATGTAATATCGTTACATAGCAGGGCTGGACCGTCTCTTACAGAAGTGTTCTAAAACTCAAATTATGTTAGCTCTATGCAGTTTACAAATCTTTATCCTAGACTGAAACTGCTTTCTGCTTACTTGTTAAGATGACAAAGTAAAGCAGATCCTTTTGATATTCAGTAGTCACTTAACCTTTTGGAAGGTAATAGCACCATCAGCACAGAAATTGTAGAGTGACCTAGTTTAAAATGGCCCAGAAAATAGTCACTGTACACACAGGGCAATGCAGAATAAAGTGCCAATGCATTTAATATTTTTCTGAGAACCACAGCACGCTTGGAAAGGCTGATGCATCATCTGTATTTACTGATTCACAGTCCTTCATGACATGGCTAAATAGTGTCACAGAGTATCTGTCAAAGTACTACATAATTCTAAGAGAAGGAAAAAAATCCCAAAATGACCACAAAGGGTAAATGGCAAAAATAAACTAGCCCACAATGTCCCTTACAAAGTCGAGGCACTTACACAAGTGATACATGAAGAGCATTGATCCTCTTACCCTTCCCAGGTAACACAGAAACATAACAGTAAAGGCCCTTATGCATTGTCTTTAGCTAAAGAGAGCCTTATTTCCTAGAAGGCATGGTAGGTTTCTGGTATGGTGGTATTCAGCATAAGAAGATGAGAATCAGCCCTGATTTGTTCATGAAGCATAAAAAACAATAGATACCATCAATGTCTAATTTTCACTTTGACTCGGGTTACAATGTTTTCTGAAGTGTCTTGACTCAAATACGTAGATATACCTGGAACAATATGTTTTTCAATCTTCTTACAACACTGGCAGTCACCCTGGAAAGTCTGCTGTTTTGCCTTCCACCACGGAAAGTGTGGCTGTATAACTTCTATCAGTGCATATCAGAAATGTATTTACTACAGTAAAACCATATAGCTCTTTAGAACTAACATTAACTTTTTAGTATTGATAATAATAAAGAAGTAGAAGATTTTTGAGCCAAAAATGTTTCTTTATACTAAGTTACCACACTCCCCGAGTAACAGAGTTGTATAAATCAGCAGAATATTATTGAAGAACATGGCTAACTGTGGGGTTTATACTATAAGAGTGCCAAAAGTTGTGAAACCACCATGGAAATAAATAGAGGTGAATCCATCTGACTAGGAAAGGGGGCACCTTTCCTATGCCTGTTGCTTGTAAACAGGGGGTGTCTTGTGGGTGAGGTGGCATTGGTAGCTGTCTTGGCCATAGAGGCCATGAGGTAGTAGAATTCAAAATATTTGGTCATAGAAGGAAAACTGTTGCCAAAACCTGGATTTGGGGAGAGCAGATTTCAGACTGTTCAGGGAACTAGTTAGAACCACTGCTCTAGTGGTTGGCAACCCTGCCCAGAGCAGGCGGGTTGAAACTAAATGATCTTTAAGGTCCTTTTCAAACCAGGCTATTCTATGCTTCTTGTGGGTCCCTTCCAACTCAGATATACTATGATTCAATTAAAATCTCTTCCATCAATCTCCTCTTGCTGGAATTTGGAATAATATTTTGGACCTCTGTAAAACATTCATTGAGAATACATGTATGTCTGTGCTAAGGGCTCAGAAAAGAAAATTTGCCTGGAAGACCTCCCCTTACCAAAATTCCACATCCAGTTTGGAATTATTAGCAAAACAAGGGTTTCTTACAATTTTTCCTCCTGATTGCATGCAGAGCAAGGGAGAAAGGACCCCAAACATAAAAACTCCCTATTTCAATTTTTGTAAAAATGCATATGCTCAGAAAATTGGCTCCCTTTCTCTCATGTTGAACAGGCTGGAGGCTGCTAGGGGTCTACTGTACTTTCACACAGGTTTTGCACAGGAAAGAATATAAATGTCTCTTGTATTATATTTGACATGGTAGCTTTTAAAGCTAGCCTCCATCATAACTGCTTTCCATCACCATTTAAAATGCTGTTTGGATCTCTAGCTCTGACTCCTTAACAAATATCACACAAATCATTCACACAATCTTTCTCCTGACCAACATGGGATCAACAGCAGCTGTGTTTCAAGTGCTTCCAACATAACTAATCTTAAAACTCAAATAACAAGGAATTTATAGTTTCCCAAATGCATCCCTGACATATTTTACCATTGCTTGGGAATCACTAGCACATAATTTAATTAACTAGATTCAAATACTTTAAAATACATCTTCCATATGAGATCAGACAGAACAAGGTAATGACCTGAGATTGATGCTGTGCAGTAGCTGGGAAGGCTCAAGCTGCAGCGATGCTGGATGCACCATTTCAAACGTGCCAGAAAGGCCTTTCTGCAGCATGTCCTTCCCATTGCTCTGAATTTCCAAATGCCTCGAAGAGTAGCAGCAGGCTGAAACCCCAGTGTCCAGAAACGGACTCAACTACCATAATGGTAATGATGAACAGCAGAGTTCTCAGCAGCTGTGCTGTGTGAATTTTGTGTTTCAATTCCAAATGGCTTTTGGAGAGAAGACTACACAGCAAACTTGGGTTGGCATCTTCTTTCATATGGGAGCTGAGCAGCTCCCATAGTTAAAACTGAAAGATATCAAGTTCAGCATGAAATTCCCAAATCCTTAACTAATAAAGTGAGATACTTGCATCTACTGCTGTCCTGAGATAAAATTTTGTACTCAGCTTCCTAAGGGCTTTGGAGAAGAATATTCTGCATTGGCCCAGAGAGCAGGAACTTTTTATTTTTGTTTTAATAAAACTATTATAGATTTTTTTCCACCTCTTCTGTCATCACCACAAAGCCAGCAATAGTTTTTGAGTGTTTCCAGAGAGACTTCAAGTCATAATTTTAAAATGTTACAGAAACAAGTTAACCACATACCTCTTATTTAAGGCTCTGGGTTTTGTTGTTGTTGTTTGTTTATCTGTTTGCCTTTTTAATTGTTGCTTCTGCAGAGTAAGAATAACATCATATATATAAAGTCTCAACTTTTTGTGTTTGGGTATCTGTGAGAGGATCAGTTGACAGAGCAAGAAACAGCCAGGTTCTTACCACTGTTGAAAAAATTGCCAAGTGAAAATCTGAGCTTTTGAAAATTAGTTGTTGATAGTAAGCATCCGCGTAGCATGGAAGATTCTTGTGAACTTGATAGAATTTGTTAGTGGAAGAGCAGAAGACCGATTTGTAAGGAGAACTCTCTGTTACACAATCCCAGGGGACGCATGTCAGGGTCTGGACATGAGGAGTCACTTCCAAAACTGGTATGAAACAAAAAGTCAACCATGTTTCTGCCCGTGTATTTCCTCCAGAGATGCTATAAAATGGAAGCTGTGGGTACTGTGGACATCTAAACAGCAACAACCTGATTTGTCATTTTAACAGGCTTTAATGCAGAAACAGTATAAAGTGACTTTTGTCATCACTTCTGTTATTAATATTGGACATGCCCAGTTCCATGAACACATTAAAAGAGCCTGTCTTTTATCTAATTGACTGA